TTGGTGTCAACATTTCTGTATAAAGTTAATTAAATAAACTACAGTGTTCCCTATGTGTGATGAAAGTTTTCTCATTCTGTTAGGAATGTGATTTAGTAGATACAAAGTTTTTCTCAAATCACATGACCTGACAGTATAGAAAATGAATTTGAGTACTTCTATTTTTAATCCCAAATTGTTCACCTTTTGGCTTGCAAAATACTCTGTGTCACTTTAAAAGGGCAGGAAGACAAATTGCTGACATGATACTGTTCATCTAAATTTATAGGTTTACCCCCAAGGTTTCTTAAGTGACTTAAGACTCCAATCTCTGAGCTCAGTTTGAAGTACCTTCAAGGCAACTGATTTTCTGAAGGAGCTCAGAAGTTATCTCAGTGCTGAATTCCTTTTCAAGGAGCTACTTTAGGTCACCGGTTGCTTTTGAAAATGTTAAACACAATTTTAAAACACGTTGTAAAACAGCATTTTACTTAAATAGTAAATACATTAATCTTAGATTCCCCCAGGTGAGCTGCAGGCACGGGGTGAGATTTTTTCCAGCAGTTCTTGCTGTTGGTTTGGTGTTCATCACCACAATTCCTCGTGATCCACGGGGAGGGGAACTGAGCCAGCAATGGAGAAACTGAAACTGTGGAGCACATGTGAAACAAAGCAATTTATGTGTTCCTGTGGGGCAGCAGTGCTGCTTCAAGGGATTCAGTTCTTTGAAGCACTGTGGTTGGAGAGTGCTGGTGGGTGTCTTCTTGGAAGTGGAGAATGCAAAGGATCTCAAGAACAGGTTTTTCCAGTTTAGATTCATGAAAGGCCCGACCTTAATATTCATATTCTGGCTTTTCATGTGAAGGAAAGATAAAATCCCTACATGCTCCAGCTCTTTCCCTGCTTCCCTGAACAAACACACGTAATTCTAATAACCACAGTACAACACCTTAAGATCCTTTTTGCTTTCTACTGCTTCCCCATTTTCTATACACTTTTCCATACCACAGGAGACATCCCTTTCAACGAAATTCTATCCATAAACCTTTTTGTCTTGATAAATGCTTTGTTTCACTGAAAGAGATGAACGAAGGTCTTTTCCCTAGTGGGTGATGTTTTTCATGTTTTTCCAAGTCCTTGTTTTATATATTTACTTTCCCATTAAGCAATGTATTGCTGCCACAGAGTACATTTCAGTCAGGGTAGCAGGACTGTGGTTTAATCTCCCTGAGAGCAGAAAGCCCAGAAATGGCATTTATCCACCCCCTGAACCTTCTTGCTTCCCTTCTGGCCTGTGAAATTACTCAGCCTAATTCTGCAAAAACAAGAATTTGAGCTTAAACATCCACATTTATTTTTTCTTTTAATTAGGCAGTCAATGATTTATGTCAGTTTAGCTATTCTCTTACTTAAGAGCATGAAACACTTGATAAAATATGTTCCTGGAATGCTTATTGTTAAATGTAATGTGGAATGTGTGTGTGTCTGAAATTTTGGAGCATATCCTTGGGGTTATTTTAGATTATAGAGTATAATCCTTGCAGGACAAAAAACCACTTTAATTGAGGTAAAAATGTGAACTTAATCATCTGAATTTTTACCACATACTGCCATGACTTTGTTTGCTGAATTTCCCTGGTGGGACTGGCAGCCACCTCGGATCACTCCAGCCTTCATACCCACAAATACCATGGCTTATTTTTCTGGGACATTTCTAGAGAATTAAACTAGCAACTCAGGAGAACGTTAATTGAAGAAGTGTGGTAGAAGACAAGCTAATTTGAATAAAAAATACCAAATTATTTTGGAAATGTCTTACGGAAGGGGATGTGCCAGGGTTTGGCATTTTTCCTGGCCTTTGAATTTGTGTATGCTGCTCATGGCAAGTCTCATGGGAAGCCTGGGAAGGTGTATGGAAGTAGGAACTTGGTTTGGACAAATTAAATATTCAGGAGACAATTTAACTTGGAACAATAATGTGGGTGCTGTGGTAATCTTTTCCTTTGTTCAGTGCTCTGCTTTAAGGCTGCAGATTTTCTGAGTGACCTTGGCAAATCCCTTTCCACCTGACTCCGTTCTGGATCTGAAAAACTGGGATTATGGTACTGACTCACACTACAAAACACCTTCAGATTTGAGGATGGAAAACTTTTAAGAGCTGGGATTTACCATATTTTTTATTGTAGGGAGTCTCACTAAATTGGGTGATTTATCTCTTCTAGTTTGAGTATGCTCTCAGTGTGAGAGAGAGCTTTAGGTCCTGTCTCCATGTAAAAAATAACCTCATGGAACTTCTGGGTTAGCTTTAATTTATGGAATAGCTGGTACATCTACCAAACTATTTAGTTTGGTTTAAAAGTCCTTCGTTGACAGAGAAAACTTCGTGCACACAAGTCCTTTCTGCTACTTGACATTTGGGTTCTGGCCCTTACAAGCAGAGTATGTTTTCTGATGTTATTTTTTTTTTTTTTTTTTAATTTTTTTTTTTTTTTTTTTTTTTTTTTTTTTTTTTTTAATGACTTTTTTTTTGGCTATGTTTTCTGATTTTTTTTTTTTTTTTTTTAATGGCTTTTTTTCTGGCCATGTTTTCTGATGTTATTATTTTTTTAATGACTTTTTTTCTGGCTAGGACAGCTCCCTAGCAGTGGTTCTGGCAGAGCTGGGGTGGCCTGGGCTGTGCTGCTGGGCTGGGCTGTGCACAGGGGTGAGAGGGGCTGGGAGGAGCCCTTGCCCCTTCCCACAGAACCATCCCTCAGCACAGGGAGCCTCAGAATTCCTTTTCCTCGCCTGTCTCCAGTTACCCAGCAGCGCTGAGATGGTGAAAGCAGGTGCAAAGTGACAGTGATAAAAATAGCAATTTCAATCACTGCTCCTGGTGCAGCGGGGGGATCTCTGCTCCCCTCCCTCTCGGAGCCCAGCTCCCCTCGCACACCCAGGACTTTGTCAAAACCATCCCAAAATCCCAGCTCTTCTTTCAACAGGCTCTTCAATAAGAGTTATCCATCCACGGCAGGTTAGTGCTGGAGCAGGGAGGGCCCTGGTTCCTGGCAGCTTTGGCAGAGCAGACACAGCTCTGCTTTTGGAGCACTGTGGAAAGGCAGCAGGAAGAACTCCATAAGGAACTCAATTCCATTTTCTATTTAGAAAAATATCCTTTTTTTATCTCATTCCTCTAATCCTCAGCTTCCAAATAACAAGCCATGATCTATTTGCTTTAAAGCTTGTGGAAATTAGGAGTGAAAAATCGTAGAATTCTGGAGCAGTTTGGGACATTAAATCCCATTTCTTTCCACTCCCTGCCATGGCAGGGACACCTTCCACTGTCCCAGGCTGCTCCAAGCCCCATCCAACCTGGCCTTGGGCACTTCCAGGGCTGGAGTAGCCACAGCTTTTCTGTGCCACCCTCACAAGGAAGAATTTCTTCCTAATGTCAGATCAGGGTATGCATTTGAAAATTTAGATCAGATTTTCCCTGATATTTATTATCTTTGGATTTAAACCTTTTAACATTTTTTTTCTTTCGGTTTCCCATAGGATCTAGACCCTGCCTCACTGCATGCAAGAGCACACAGATGTCATCAATTATAGAAGAACTTTAAGAAGTCATAATTAATATTTTTACAGAAAGCATTACTTACATGGAGACATTCTAAACAGAAATAAATGAAAATTTCCCTCTTATAGTAAAAATCTGAAGCCAAACAAACTAAACTTATTTTGGATATTCTGCTGTTTCCCTTGGTAACAGTCCTTATATGGAAGAACAAAAATCTGGTTGTTGTTGACCTTCCCATTTCCACTTTCTTGTTCTTCCACATTGGCTGAAGGCTTCAGGATTGAATTCACAAAGGCTGGAGTGGATGATTTACACAGAACAATAACAAAACTCTTGGCAGGCAATTTTAACCACCAACTTTAATTTGAAAATAATTGAATTGCCTTGCTTTTCAGAATTTCTGTGGTTTTGGTTTTCTGTTGTAATGGAAAGTTTTGCACTTTTTCATGTCTAACTTGCAGTTACATTGTGTGTAAGGACAAGATGAAATCTCCTTTCAAGGGTGTATATTGAACTCTAAAAATAACCTGGAGAGAAACCTGGCTTTTAACTTTTTTTAGACGTGTTGCTGTGTAAGAAAATGATATTTCAAAAGATGTTCCCCTGGAAGAACATAAGTGGTTTGGTTTGGTCAGAATTTTGAAGAATTTGCCTTGAGAAGAAAGGTATGTAATTATCTATGGGGGTGCACAGGTGTGAAGGAAAGCAGACAAGTTTGTGCATGACAGCAAAAGGTGCTGAATTTAAAAACAAAGAAGGGATTTTTTTTTTTTAATTTTTTAGTGTATGGAAGTTTGGCTTGGGTGTACATTTGAACTGAGATTGTATGTCTAGAATAGGGCAGAAGCAGTTGGACTTCCCTTGCTTCAAGTCATGTGTTCAGGCTTTCTTCTTGAAATCACAATCAACCGATGCAAAAAAATCAAAATTTTACAGTACAAATCTCTGATTTTCACTTTCCCTTTGGGACTCTTAGTTTAAAATTTGAAGTGCAGTAAAGGCAGTTTTGTGGCCTGTGCGTGCCCGTGTCGAGTCTGTCGCTGCAATAGTGACAGGAGTGTTCTGCCCACCTTGCCCTGGCCAGGAATGACCAGATGTGGTATATGCTCTGGTAAAGTAAAACTCCTTTTCCAAAAACGTGTATTTTAAAACATGATGTGGACTGTTCTGAGAGAACAGAACACAACTCTTCCAGTTTCTGATGTATCTGTGGGTTTGTCTGTCCTGGTCAGAGGGTCTGGGACACGGGCTGGGAGCCTGGACACTGCTTCCAGTTGACATTATCTGTTTCCTGCTTAAATAAACTCACAGGGTAAGTCGAGAACAAGGCAAAAATACCCTCTTGCCTTCAGAAGTGGCACTTGGTGCTTGCAGTGTGGGTGGAATGTCTTTCTCCTTTCTCACGGCTCCCTGAAGCGCGGCTCTGTTTTTCCTTGTGCCGGTCCCTGATGCTCTTCTGCCTCTTTGCCCAGCTGCAGGCTCCGCATGGCCTCTAGATGTCCCTCCTCCTCCTCGCATAGCCCCAGCAGCAGGCAGTGCAAGAAATGCAGCTCCAGCACATCCCACTTCTTCAAGGAATAGACCCTGGGCGTGTCACCCCAGCAGGTACAGCGGCGCAGCCTGGAGGGTGCGCAGGGCTCCTTCTCTGTGCTCCCAAACGCGTCGGTGTCTCTTTGGAGGTGTGAGCCACACCTCAGAGAAGCCACGGAGCCTTTGCTCCTGGCTTTGGGGGAGGCTGAAAGGATGAGAACTGGGTGAGCCAAAAAAAGCTGCATCCCCTCCCATGCTGGAAGTGATGCTGAGAGACCACTGAGATCCTTTGTGCCATTGCTGGCTGCTCTGGCTCATTTCTGGGGTGGAGGGTCTCTAGGGTTTTTTCCCTTTGGAGCTTTTTGCAAGCAAGGATTTCCTCTTGAAATATGTGATGTGCTAATCCCAAAGGGACAAGGTTTTCTCTGCTGATGGGTACTTACATACTATGTAAATAATTACATACTATACATAGTACTTATACATACTACATCCATCCATACATACTATGGATCAAAAGGATGTGTGAGTGTAGTCAGCCCTGTACAACTCATGGAAGGTTTAAAGAGTTTTGTTCATGATCTTTTAAGACCTGAGGTGTCACTCTCCTGGATCTTAGGGAGCTTGAAGATGGTGATTATTTGTGGAAGGATGGATTTTATCCCTGACCTGGAAGGAGTGGTGTTTGTATATGATTGTAATAGTGGGCTAAGTGCTTTGGGATCTTTTAGGCTGAATGGGTGAACACTGGACAAAAATATTCGCTGTCCAAAAAAAATGTATACCTGTGAATGTGCATTTTGCTGGCTGTTTTTGTGGCCCACCACAAGCTCAAAGACCAGCATTACAATGCAAATTGCAGTGCTGTGGTAACATGCAAAAACCTTAGCTGGGGTAGTGGTGAGATAAACTGTGTAATGCAGCACTATGGGCTTGGGCAAATTAATTACCCAGCTCCATGTACTGGTGAGGCTGAGCTGATTTTCTGTTGGTTTAAACAAGACACCATTTTCTGCTTCTTCATTTCCCCGCCATTAACTTTCAGATAATAATCTCCTTTATACTGATGTAACAGCTAAGGAACAGGATATTTAACATGTGTAAAGCTAAAGGTGACAATGAGTACTAACAAAATGAAGACACTGCAGCCTGAAGTTTATTCTTAAAACCATTCAAAAAACAACTTTTGAGGGAATAGTTAGTAAAATTCTGAGGTTTGCTATCTCCTCAATACTGGGGATGGATGCTAATGAATGCTAATATCTCTAGCTGTGGCACGGATCACTTAGCTGTGGTCCAAATCCAAGCAAAATTAAATCATGCCTGTCTCTTTGCGGTACAGTGGTCACTGAATGACTTGTCCTGCTTCCAGCTCCATGGAACATGGAACTGTGACTCCTTAAACTATTTCTGATTAAATGTAACTCTCTGTGTATTTTCAGGTACCAGAAACTTCTGACTGAAAAAGGTGAGGTAAAGTAATCCTCAGGCATTATCCTCTCCTGCTTTGCTCAGATGAGGTGAGATGGGCTCCTCAGCAGACAACAGGGACAGTATTTTCTCCTGCTGGAAGTGATGCTGTGCTTCTGTCATCCCTTCCTTCCAAGGGAGGGAGCACAGAGCAGGTCCTGCCTTCTCCAGAGAGGGATAACTGGGGGTGCTGGGGCAGGGTGATCTGGGGGTGCCCCAGTGCATGGAGCCCACGTGCCAGCGTGGAGAACAGCACGGGGAAGTGCTCAGCATCTGCAGGCGAAGCACCCATGCTCAGAGGGTGGGTGGGTCTGGGTGAGTCTCCTCTTTCTGGGAGAACAAAGGGGGTTTCACATACTATGCAATTAAATTCTGAAAAGACTGTTCCATCCTTTCAGTTTCTGCTTTATCCTCACGGATAAAGAACTGGGCATCCCACAAAAACCACTGCAGGGAGTGCTGGGGTTTCCTGAGGTTTCCACATGGGAAGTCTGTGGGTTCCTCAGTCTCTTGACTTTGTACCAGTAGCTTTAAGGGGCAGATACTGTTGCTTTTGAAGTGTATCAGGACACATTTTTTGGGAAGATCACCCCTTACATGATCCCTGGGAAATGCACTGATAGCCCAGTTCCATGAAGGGACAAACATCCATTTCTCAAAAGCTGCCATAACTTGTGTTGCCAATCTGGTATTGTTTAGAGTTGGGATTTATTTATTTAGGGATAGTATCAAACACAGGTGTTGCTGTGCAGTATCAGCCCAGACTTGTCCTCAAATACAACATTTGTCCTTAAATAGAGCACCTGTGTTTGTGTCTCTAGACGTGTTTGGTTTTGGGAGGGCTGTCCAGAGGCCATCCTTGAGGACAGCCAGTAAAGACTAATTCCAGAAACACACAGGTCAGATGATAAATGCAGTGCAGAAAGGTCTCTTACCTCTTTCCTGTCCCAAATCACACCCAGGCACATCTTCTGCCAGTTCTGGGCAGAACTTCTGCCCAGTTCACCCACGAGGTGAAGGGTTCCTGCTGCCAACATATGATTTCCATGATCCCTGCTAATGTACCATCCAGGTTTGGAACTTTTTAAGGAGGCCAAAGGGGTTGATTATTGTATTTCCTTCCTGTTTCAGTCAATTTATTCCTGTCCTGACTTTGCACTCCACACAGATAAGCACAAATCTGTGTATCCACAAGTTAGTTAGGAAGAAACAAGTGCCCAGTGGATACTCCACCATCCTGAAAAAATCAAAGAAATTATCAATTTTATATATATATCTCATATATAGATATATATATATAAGACAGATAAAAATATATATGCATGGAGTTTCTGAAAACAGTTAATTTTGTATAGTTTTGATGAAAATCAAATTGTTCAAACTGAATAGAAAAGCTTTATAGAAGAAACATTGTTTGCCATAAAAATGTTTTAGGTGTGTGTGGTTTGAATTGGAAAGTAAAGGGTTTCAGGATCTTGTATTATCTCACTACAGATTTTTTGGATAAACCCCTCTTGGAGGCTTTCTAAGTGCAATTGTGGTTTGGGGGAAGGCTGAGGGGCTGAGAACTGGATGAGGCAGAAAAAGCTGCATCCCTTTCCATGCTGGGAGTGATGCTTCCAGTCCAAGACTGTGGAATCCTTGTGCCATTGCTGGCTGCTCTGGCTCATTTCTGGGGTGGAGGGTCTCTAGGGTTTGTTCCCTTTGGAGTTTTTTCTAGCAGTAATCTCCTCTTGGAAGAGCTGTACTAACTGCAAACAAAGGCTGGGATTTTTCACAGCAGCCTTGGAAGGCTGAGAATCTCAGTCATTCAAACTAGTTAGAAGTGAGCATCCAGATCTGCTAGGCAGCTTGGTAAATTTTGGTCAAATAGCACAAAAAAATTAAGTTTCCTAGCCTTATGTCTGTGTCCAAGCAGCTGGTGTGCACACACAGCTCTCTGATCAGTTTGTCTCACTTTGGTTTTGTTACCTTTTTATTTTCTCTCCACATTTTGTCCCTTTTCTCATAATGTAATTTTAGTATGGTAAACCCTGTTCTTTCAAACAGCAATGCTCTTCCTGTGTGTCTGGAGAGTGCCTAATTCACTTGAAAGATGAATATGCAGTATAATAAACCAAATATACTCTGACTAAAAGCACCACTATTATTGGTGATTGATTGATTGATTATGATTGATTTTCCCAGTGCAGTTTTGTAGGACACCTTGTCAAAGATCACAGCTAGTGTTTAAATGATCACTGTTCACTTGAGGATTGCTGCTGAGGAAGACTTTTCTTGCCATATAGTCCAAATACTGATTTAAACAATCTATTCTCTCAGACCCACTCAGCTTCCAGTCAGTTAAATGAAGTGTGGAGTTCTGGCATGGATGCTGCCCAGTTTAGTGCCTTTAAGGCATCCCAGTGAGGTTACTAGAAATCACTTCAGTGCAATTTATTTTTGCTGCCTTTTTTAGGGTGTTATCAACTATAAAAACTGACAGACTCAAGGAGAGAAGTGTGTACACTGTTGTGATACAGGAACGATTTTCCCAGAGAAATTCTGGTTTATCACACAAGCCTGTAAATATGTATTTACAATTTTAAAAGCATGTCTTTATGTCCCTGATTGTAAATGCTCTGTTTTTAAAGTTTTATAACATGTGACTCAACCAAGAGACCACAGCACACAGCTTTATATTGTACTGGTCTGTTTGAAGGGTCCATTACAGTCTAAGCTCTAGCAGAAAAATATCCATGCCACCAACAAGAAATAACCCATGGTTGCTACAGACTTCAGCATTTTTCCTCAGATAAAAAATGCAGTTTTTCTGGGAGGGGGGTGGAGGGGAATGATTTTTCTTGCAGAAAAAAAGCATCAGTTCAACAGGATGGAGATTTCATTCACAGTGAATTCACGAAAAGTATGCCATCTTTTCTCAAGGCAGAATTTCACAGTTTTGCAGCAAATTTTTAACCTCCCCCATGCCTGCTGATGAAATGTGAAATTTTGCCCTTGACCAATACCACAAGTTCTTGTGAAAATTCAAGGAGAGGGTGGGGAAAAAACTCAGGTTTTGCATGTAGAATTTGCAAGGACAACACTGGCAGCTCTGCAGTGCTCTCATGGCAATGCTGATACTGAGAAGTTTATTAAAAATAAACTGTGTGGAGATGTGCTGGAGCCTGGTTTGTGTTTGGGCTCTGAATTGCTGTGGAAGACTGAAAACTCTGTTGTCTGCCTGCTATGTAAAGAAAGAGAACAACAATAGATTCATGTGGAAAAGCCCATTATGGAAATATTTCTTATTATTTCAGCCAAGGAGATCTTAAAAATGGAGACTGACTGTGCTCTAGCTTTGAAACAATGGAATGGTTTGGGGTTTTCCTGGTGGGTGGTGGGGAGGAGGAAGGAGGTGTGAGTGTTGCCTCACTCTGACAGGTTTGGTGCACACAGACAGGGATTCATTCTCCTGACAGCTCCACGAGCCCTTTGCAGTGTGGCCTCTCCATCCCAATCCAAACCTCCTCCTGAGTGTGCCAGCATTGTGGAGCTTCAAGGCAGCTCTCCTCAGTTGGGAGGGGAATGTCCAGGCAGTGGGAGGGCTCTTTCCTTCCTAGCAGTGGTCCCTAGGAATTCTATATATTGTGAAGTCAGAAAAAAAGTTTCATCCATTTGCTCCCTTTTACTCTTTTAATCTTAGTATACCTGCATAGGTTAGTTCATGTTGTAGTTTCATGTTTCATACATTGTGTGCCATCACAGCACACTGAGACACTTCCTGCTTGCTTCAGGGCTGTGGGATTTGGCTCTTTCCAGAGAATCCCAAAGTGCTTTGGGCTGGAGGGACCTTAAAGCTGATCCCATTCTCCCCCTGCCATGGGCAGGGACACCTTCCACTGTCCCAGGCTGCTCCAAGCCCTGTCCAGCCTGGCCTTGGACACTGCCAGGGATCCAGGGGCAGCCACAGCTTTGTGCCACAGCCTGTCCAGGGTCTCACCACCCTCGCTGTAAAAACCTTCTTTAAATCTACTCTAAATGGACCCTTCCTCAGTTGAAAACCCTGTAAGGGAATCACTGAGGGTGATGGGCAGCCATGGTCATGGGTGAATTAATCCAGTCACATTCCTTAAAAACAACAGCAGGTGCCAAGAAGTAGGTTTGGGAACAGCTGAATTAGATGTATTAATATTAATTTCACATAGGCTAAAAATGGCTCTTTCACCCCAGAAAATCTGAAGGTTCCTTATGCATGATAAATCTGTCTCTTAGAGAAAAGCCACTGCTGTCACTGTCGCCTGCCAGTGCCTGCAGCAGCCTGCCAGGCAGCCTGGCTCCTCTGGCAGTGTCACAGCCTGTTTGGCTTTCAGCTTCAGGTGAGTTTGAAGGGATTTGACTGTGCTGAGCTGTCATTCTGTCCCTGCATGAGAACCTTGAGAAATATTCTTTAAATAGCTGCATGCCTCCATTCTTCTGTCTGTGCTGTCACATGAGGCAGCACTAATTATTTCGTTTTAGAAGAGCTGTGGCCTTTTTTTGGGAGAAGGCTACATCCCAAAACAGATAAGGAGGATCACTTTCTCACCCTGAAGCTGCTGCCTGGAGGCTGCTCAGCTCTGTGTGCGTGGTGCTGGCAGGGGGATGCAGAGGACACGACACTGCTGGTGGCTGGATCCCATCTCAGAGTCCCAGTTAGCAAAACCAGGGGGTGCTTCAGTCCTTGGTGCCAGAGCTGATTGTAAATGCTCTTCCAAGGCTGTGGCACACAGAGAACTTTGTGTGCTCAGGAGTGGCCACAGAGTCCATCCTGAGCTCATCTGAGACACCGCAGGAGAGGGCAGAAATAATGAAACGTAAATTTTAAGGAATTTAGAGATTTTAGAGGAGCTAAGATTTTAGTTAGAGATAAGCCTTACTAGAGTTAATTCAAATAAATAAGTAGGCCTTGATGAAGTTAAGAGTTAGGAGTTAACTAATAATTGATTGCTTGTCAGCACAATGTTCAGTTAGCTGGATTTATAATGAAGAATACACAAACTGACAAATTGCTTTTAGGAACATAAGACAGTTGTGGGCCTCCTCTGTTCTGAAACCAATTGAAGACAAGGAATGGGAGTCTACCTAGAGTTTATTTTTCATATTTTCATTGAAAAGGTAGAAAGGTCAGAACGAGGAAAACTTCATTGACTTCCTCATTTTGGGACCCCTCCCCATGAAAGGGACACTGACCCATTTCAAGGAACAAACCACTGCATGCTGAATGGCTTTTGGAGTGATTAGCATACAAAGCAAGGAATGGGATGTACCAAAATGATGAATATGTATTTGTATTTTGGGTATTCTATACTTGTATGGATAAAAGGGTTCTGTAATCACCTGGAAGCTGCAGTGTGGATTTGGGAGCTATAAACACACACTTTCTAACTTTAAACTGTCAGAGGGTTTTTGTCTGTCACAGTTAGATATCAGTACTAGATCAATATCCATATTTTTTAAATAAATCAATAGAGCTGCACATCCAGCACCGCTGAGCAGCATTTCCCTGGGCTCTGAGCAGCTCTGAGCCTTTTCCTGGCTCACAGCTCACAGCCAGCCAAGGTCACTGCTCAGAAGCTGCTGCAGTGCTGTGACACACCAGGGATGCTCCAGCCCCAGGGGCAATGACAGAAATAGTGCTGATCCTCCTGGTGCAAGGCACATTCCCTGTGGTGCAGGGATGTGTCACCCTGTTCTTTGAAAAGTTTTAAAGTTCTTTTAGAAATTTTCTATACCTTCTAATGTTAATGTTTATTTCTACTAAAGTTTCTCACATACTATCATGTAAACAATAACTTTTTTACATTCTTTGTGAGAAGAGAGAATTGATAGACTGTTAGTTTTACCAGTGTAGTTAGAAAAGTAGAAGTTTCATCCTCCAATCCACAGCCACTTTTAAAATTTTGTATATTGTGAAGTCAGAAATAAAGTTTCATCCTTTGCTTCCTTTTACTCTTTTAATCTTAATACACATGCATAAGTTATTTCATGTTGTAGTGCAACAGGGATGAGCTCACCTGGAAGTGACAGCAGAGCAAGTTCTGCCCTGCTGCTCATGGACAATCACCATTTATTCCCCAGTGAGGAAAGGAGGGGCACTGACAGCTGCTGAGGTTAGGGGCCATTTCATGCTGGTTCACAGCAGGAATTGCAGCTCCTTGGAAGAAGGAGGGGAATTTGTTTGGGAGCAGCTCTGGACATACTACCTTAGGTGTGAGATGCTAATGCAAATAGAGCCACCCCCCTTTTTGTACTGCTCTGCTAAGTTTTGGTCACTTTGACTCCATCAGTGTCCGAATCTGAGCTATTGATGATTCCCAGATTGTAGAAAGTCTCTGTCTGTCAGCCCCGCTGCCAAAGCAGAAGTCATAATTGGTCTGTGCTGGTTTCCAGGTTGTTTATTCTGTTTATCTCTCACATGTTCTGCTGCCCTGCCCAGCTCTGTCCTGCAGGGCAGCGTGTGGGGCTCTGCCCTCAGTGGGATGTGACAAACATTAAATACCAGAAACTCCCTGTGCTGGATTTACAAGAACGTGCCAATATCTGTCACCTACGTTGGACAGTGTGTCCCCAGCCTGAACCAACAGAAAAATGCCAACACCACAGTGAGACATGGAGGGCATGAAGAAGGAGGAAAAGGACAAGGCACACCCAATTTCCTCCATCTTGTCCCCTTTGAACCCCTCATCTAGAATCCTAAAATTTACATTTGCACCTATGCTATTGTAAATGCAGGTGAACCCAATGGGAAGAAATGATGATGTCTGACTCAATTCAGAAAGCTGAATTAGTTCTTTATTATAACTATGCTAAAATATATGACTATACTATATAAAAGGAGGATACTAAAAGTACATACTATCTCTGACTATCTCTCTAACACAACTCATGACCCTCCCTGAGAGACCAGCCCCAGGTGGGTTGGATTGGCCATCAGGCTCAAACAATCCTCACCAGAATCCAACCAAGCCATCACCCCAGGGAAACAATTGTCCAAACACATTCCACATGGGAAAACAAGGAGCAGAACTGGAAATTGTTTTCTCTTTCATTTCTCTCTGTGTACCTCTATGAAAAATCCTGAGAGGGAGAGAAATGTGCTTGCCACACCCATGACACACTTATTATTGCTTATATCAAATACTCAGAGTGTGTAATTCATCGTGTAAGATTGAAAACTCTTTTCCATGGCCAGAGATCACAGCCAGTGTCTCTGGGGACTCTGTCCAGGGGGTTCCTGACCCCTGCCAGGGTCCCAGGGCAGCCAGAGGGAAGCCCTGGATTCCCACACAGCAGCACTTGGCAGGGCTGGTTTTGTGTGAATTTTTTGTCCCTGTGTGCCTGAGTCAGTGGCTGTGTGAAGAGCTGGGCAGGGGATATGAACTCCAGGCTCATCTCCTTGCCCAAAGTCAGCTTCTCTGGGCCTCTGCACTCCTCCAGCTGAAGCTCAGGGGAACAGACTGTGTGGGGCCAGTCACTGCATCAGAAAATCTGTATATGAAACAGTGCTCTTTATTAAGCTCACATCTTGCCATCTGCACTGTGTATTTACTCTCTTATATATTGAATTTTCCTATAGCTGGAGTGTTAACTGACAGAACTGAAAGACTCCCTGAAATTTTTTCTTGGGTTCCTCTATCATGTGCAGGCTTACCTGGGGTGTATTGATTCAGGAATGCTTCTTAATTTGACCTTCAAGGGAAATCCTGTAGTACTCTGTTCTGGTAGATTCTGTATCTGAGTTCAGCTTCTCTTTGGGCCCACCACCAACTGACTAGAGTCCTTTCAGAGCTGATATTTCTTTGCTACAAGGATATTTATATATTAATTAAGCCTTACTTTTGATAAATTATCCAAATATTCTCTAAGTCCTTAAGGGAATTTTCTTTCTGCACCACTTATGTCATTTTCTTCTGTGCCTTTCAAACTTTTTTTTTTTTTCCAGAAAGAATAAAACTCAACCAAACAAAATTGTCTTCCAGCCAAGAGCTGCTGGAGATGTAATCTGCAGGAAGGCAGAAATGTGTTTAATTGCTGCCTCTGATGCCAAACCTTAAGTGCTTTTCTTCCAAGTGAGTTCTACAAAACTCCATTTGCCTTGCATGACACAGGCATCAGAATTGCAGAAACCTTCCAGGGCTGATGTCAATGGTGTGGTCTGAGGAGGAATAATCACATCCCTACATCCCCCTGCATCCAGGCAGTGATTCCACCAACCCTCCTTGTGACAGTGCTGTCCTGGAAGAAAATGC